AGGTTGCTGGTTTGATTCCCAGTCAGGGCACATGCTTGGGTTGGAGACCAGGTTCTCAGCTGGAGGGTGCTCGAGAGGCAACCACACATTGATGTCTCTCCCTTTCTTTCTCCCTCTCTTCTTACCTCTCTAAAAATAAGTAAATAAAATCTAAATTAAAACAATAAAAGGAGAGCAAAGTCAAGATATTTCTATTAAGTTGCATGAGGCTTCAAGAAAACTGATTTTAAAAAAAGAGAGAATTCTAAAATTATGAACAGATGTGGCTAAATGTTAAAGCAATGCAGGTTCAGTAAAAAGCCCAGTAGCACGCTCTTCTGTTTCTCTTCAATTTTGTTTGTTTGTTGATTGCCAGTATAAACCATTCTCTGGATCTCTTTTTTAATCAATTAGAGTAAAAAGAAAAAGAAAACAGGGACTCTGTGGGCAGCACACTGCTGCTTTGTTTGTTCAGTTTGTTGCTAAAGCCTGCTTCGGCTTATTTCTTACCGACAAACTTTGTCAGATGACACAAGTCAGGAGGGTAGATGCTGGAGCAGGAATGGTAACCATTTGGAGAGACAGGTTGGGTCTGACTTTACAAGGTCAAATTGGACACCAAGGCCTGAGAAGGGATTTTGTTTGGGTGAAGGAATTTGGAAGCTTTCTCTAGTGCTAGAGTGTGGTCATTCATTGCGGCAGCCTGAGAATGTTGCCTACTTAGTAAAGAGTGTCCTCATCGATGGAATGGTGATGAGCAGTTGCACTAGTAAGAACGATAATGATGATGATGATGATGACATTTATTAAGTGTTTATTATATGGCAGACACTGTGCTCAATACAAATAACCTAATTTCAATCTATATATAGTAACATCATAAGGTAGGAATATTTATAGCCTATTCTATAGTCAAGGAAATGCAGACTTAGTGAGGTGAAGTAACATGCACTGAGTCCCCCCAGCTCATAAATGCCAGAGCTGGAACTGAAACCAATGTTTGTTTGATTTCAGAGCTCAAAATGTGTACAAATATTTAAAAAATTAATTAATGAGAATTTCCAAACTCAAACAAAAACTGCAGAAACAACAATCAAATATAATTGTGTATGTATATATGCATGTGTGTATATATATGTGTGTGTGTATACATGTGTGTATATATATATATACATATATATTCCAAGATTTGGCTTCAAAAGTTTCCATTTTAAATTAAATGATTGCATACTGTAACTATTAGTTTTCCAGTAGAAGTCTAAGATATTTCCAAAAAGATAACTTTATAGGTCAGTAAAGATTCCCAACTTCCAAACTGGGATGAATGTCTTCAAATTCAACATTATCTTTCACAGGAGAGAAAAGTTCACAATGAAATGACAGCCTGGGAGAAAATACTGGCAATGCATGTAACCAACAAAGAGTGAGCATCATTAATATACAAAGAACTGCTACATATTAATAAGACCAAGACAAACAGCTCCAAAAAAATAGCCTCAAAATAGGAAGTTAATTCACAGAAAAAGTAAAACAAAATTATGAAAAGAAACTCAAACAAATAAAGAAATGCATAAATAAATATATAAATAAGCAAATAAATAGAACTAGCTCATCCATCAGAATTATACATATACTGTGTTCATGGATTAGAAGAATTAACATCAATAAAATGTCTATACTACCCAAAGCAATCTATAGATTCAATGCAACTCCTATGAAAATACCAATGGCACATTTTACAGATCTAGCACAGATATTCTGAAAATGTATATGGAACGGAAGAAGACCCAGAATAGCCTCAGCAATTCTGAAAAAGAAAAACAAAGTTGGAAGAATCACAATACCTGATGTTAAACTCTACTACAAGGCCACTGTAATCAAGACGGTCTGTTACTGGCATAAGAACAGACACATAGGTCACCCAGAAATAAACCCATGTCTCTGTGGTCAATATTTGACAAAGAAAGCAGAAGCACACAATGAGAGTAAAACAGTCTCTTCAATAAACGGTGTTGGGAGAACTGGACTGGTACGTGCAAAATATGAAAGTAGACCACCGAATTATACCATATACCAGAATAAACTCCAAATGGATAAAAGGCTTAAATATAAGTTATAATACCATAAAACTTGTAGTGGAAAACATAGGTAGTAAAATCTCAGATATTCTGCATAGCAATATTTTTGCCAGTATATCTCTTAGGACAAGGGAAATAAAGGAAACAAATGGGACTACATCAAATTAAAAAGTTTCTGCATGGCTAAAGAAACCATTATCAAAATGAAAAAGGAACCAACTATATAGGAAAACATATTTGGCAATGATACATTGGACAAGGGTTTAATCTCCAAAATACATAAAGAACTCATTACTCAACACCAGGAAGACAAACAATCCAATTAAAAAATGGGCAAAGGATCCTATAGACACTTCTCCAAGGAGGACATACAGATGGCCCATAGACATATGAAAAATGCTCAGTCACTAGTCATCAGAGAGATGCAAATTAAAACCACAGTGAGACATCAGCTCACACTGGTCAGAATGGCCATCATTAATAAATCAACAAACAACAAATGATGGTGAAAATGTGGAGAAAAGGGAACCCTAGTTCACTGTTGGTGGGGATGTAGACTGGTGCAGCCACTGTGGAAAACATTGTGGAATTTCCTCAAAAAACTAAAAATGGAACTTCCTTTGACCCAGCAATTCCTCTGCTGGGAATAAACCCTAAGAATCCTGAAATACCAAAAGAACTTATGTACCTCAATGTTCATAGCAGCACAATTTACAATAGCCAACTATTAGAAACAGCTCAAATGTCCATCAGTAAATGAATGGATTAAAAAACTGTTGTACATTTACACAGTGGAATACTATGCAGCAGAAAAAAGAAATCCTACCTTTTGCAACAGCATGGATGGAATTGGAGATAATTATGCTAAATGAAATAAGTGGGTCGGTGAAAGAGAAATACCATATGACCTCACTTATAACTAGAATCTAATGCACAAAATAAACTAAAGAGAAAAACAGAACCAGAGACATGGAAACATGGAGGAGACTGATAGCTGTAGGAGGGGAGAGGCGAGATGGGGAATGGTGAAAGGAAGGAGAGGGGAATAAACAAAGAACATGTGTGAATGACCCACGGGCACGGACGATGAGAGGGGATTGACTGCAGGTGAGAGGAATGGGCTGGGTAAGGTGTGGCAAAAGAGAAAAAAGTGGGTCAACTGTAATAGAATAAACAATTTAAAAAGAAAAAGAAAATAAGTTCGTGTTAAAATACGCATTATTCTTTGACTTACCAATGCCACTTCCAGTTCCTATCTCATTTACATAAGAATGGTCATTTGCACAATTCTTTATAGTACTAAAAATGTAAATAACTCATAAATCATACGTGTATGTGTATACATATGTGTCTAGATTTATTTTAGTTGAGGAAAAAGTAAACTTTAGGTTAATACATATAGCTTACTTCCATTGGTTTAACACATAAGTTTTTGCATTTATAGGTAGGTTGTACATGGATAAGTCAGTGGAACTGCAGGGAAAAGCTGGGAAGGATGTGCACCAGGTTGGCAAACTGTGGAAGAAGAGGAGGTGAGCAAAGGCGGGACTTTACTCCGGGGGAAGAAAAAAAAAAAAATATTTTATATTTATCTTAGAGGGGAAGGGAAGAAGAGAGGGGAGAAAATCAATGTGTTCCTTTCGTCACTTTCTTGTTCGCAGGCCCACGCTCTTTATCTACTTTTATTTCTGAAATGGTGGGACTATACTTTATAGTTTTGGTGACTTGGGTATTTCATAAATAACATGAGTTTTAAAAAGGATAAAAATCATCTGTCTGAATGAATCTGAATTCATAAAGTTATGAATCTAAAGTTATAAAATCTTGGACTTTCAGGAAATAGTTCATGAACTAGTATAAAGATGCTGGAAATATATGGCAGCCCCTTTTAACATTGTGGTTTTTTTTTAATTGCAAAAGGTGTAAGTGTAAAATTTTGTAATACATAGACCAGCAAGAAATAAATGAAAATTCCTGACAATTCCCATAATCCTCACAGTGAAGTACTCTACTATGCAACAGTTCTCTCAGACCTGTTTATTTCTACATTGTACAGATTTTTGAGTGCCATCCCAAAAGCAATGGCTTTGTGAATTAATCACCCAGGGGCCATTTTGTACAATTTTTTTCCATGCATATACACTCTTTTTTAAAAGTATAGCAATCTTAACATATGTCCACATAAAACATGTATACAAATGTTTACAGCAGCATTACTCATGTAATAGTCTAAAAGTGAGACAACCCAAATGCCCATTAATTGATGAATGGATAAACAAAATCTGGTATAGTCACTCAATGAAATTTTATTTGTCAATAAAAGGGAATGAAGTACTGACACATGCTACAACATGGATGGACATCATGTTAAGTGAAAGAAGCCCATCACAAAATATCACATATTATACTATCTCACTTATTTATATGAAATGTCCAGAACTGGCAAATCTATAGATTTGAGATAAAAATAGACACATGATTGCTTAGGGCTGAGGGAGCGAGAGTAAGGAGGAGATCAGAAGGGACTACTAGTGGGTACAAGGCTTCTTTTGGGGAAATGAAAATGTTTTAAAATGAAATTATGGTGATGATTGCAGAACTCTAATTATACTCAGAAACAGTAAATTATACACTTTGGGTAAACTTTTATGGTTTATAAATTACAGCTAAATAAAACTCTTTTTAAAAGTCTTATGAAAGTTTTGTCAATGTTAGCATGACTGTAAATGATAAGAATTCTAGAAAATTTGGCCTTTTTCTGAATTTCCCTTCTTCCCTCTGTCACTGCACTCCCAACACTCAACCCTAGGAAGAAACCTGGTTGACTGCGCTCTTTTCATAGCAAGTTTCCTCCCTCCCAACGTGCTTTGAACCTATTTAATTGATAACCTTTCTTGAATCAGCAGCCCACAGATGAAAGGAAAACGAAGCAGCAGCACCTACCTTCAATTATATGTTTTCTTGACAACCCTCTTTCCGTTTCAGCTCTAACAAGAGAAAGAAGCAAATGACTTTGAGTGGGGTGTGCTTTCTTTTATCGCTGCTTCAAAAGTACAGAAGAATAACCATTCTAGATTCTGGACTGAATTGCTAATGTTATGCCCTGTTCTTGGAAAATTCTGTACCACAGCGGGCTGAGGAGAGAAGGCAGGTGGGCAGCACACTGAGCCTCTTTTCTCCAGAGACCCCAGGCAGTGAATCAGCCATGTCTGCCACCACACCATGGTAATAATGAGTCAGCCACCCACGTCCTGTCCATATATAATTTGACACACAGCTCAACCTTCCCACCTTGTTCTTACCAATCTAAGCAAATACAATACAATACAATACAATACAATACAATACAATACAATACAATACAATACAATACAATACAATACAATACAATACTTGGTATAAATTTGTGAGCTTGTTATAATTATTGCCATGCTGCTGGTGCCATTAGCTTTTCTGAGAAAGGAAGCAAATCTGAAAGTGCCTTTTGACTTTCAAAAGAAATGAATAACTACTGTCTTTTAAAATGTGATAAAACAAAGTCTTTAAATTAGTATCTGAAGATGACCAACTTTTAACCAGGACTTTCGCCTTTTCAGACCATTCTCAAGCTCTGGCCAGTTAGAAAGAAATGTGGTCCCTGTGTTTAAAGTATTGATGACGTGTTTCTTCAATATCAATATTTTTGGCAACCTCTTTTATAAGCCTAGGCACCATTTGTCTCTGGTGATTTTGCATGTTTTATGTTCTGTAATACTGTATGTAGTACTCTACTACACATTGGTTCTTGCACATTGTCTTACTCCCTGATTATTTCTAAACGATAGGCCGGGTTTTGAGCTCCGCTGCAGAAGCGCCAAGCCATGGCACCACGAATCAGCGCACAGACAGCGAAAGTCCGACACATTTCTCATAAGCGCCGTGTTGCTTTATCATTATATAGACTACATAGTAGTAAAAATCTAAGTTCCTTTTTTGTTTTTGTATTCATCATAAGCAAGCTCAAAAACAGCAATAAAATATGAGTGTGTGTGTATATGTATGTATAGGCACATACATTTTGATTAGAAGATTTATAAAAACTGGCCTCTGCCTCCAATTTTGTTTTTAACTATTCCCTATAAGTCACAGGAAGGTAAATGAAGTTTTATTTGTACTTGGTTTTTGTTGAGAAATCTTTGATATTTCCATGAAAAAGTGTATGGAATACCTTGTTGCATTCGTACATATTTATCTTAAAGGCCAGACTTCTAAGTCCTGCTGGATAATGTAAGTACCAGTTCAAACACCAGCAGGTTCATCAGAGGGCAATTCATCCTCTGACATTTGTTCTGCATCCCACACCAGAGAGAGGACATCTCTTTCATGTGGCCTGACAACGAGGGATACAGGGAGCTTTGCGTTACTCTCTGATGAGATGCCCCTTTGGTCAGCACTTCCAGAGCCCTCAGTAGAAATGATCAGAGACTTACATGTGGGGCCAGACAAGATATTTTTATCTTTGCATTCCATAGAAGTCTCAAAGTTTTGGTGATTTGAGTAGCTTTTCTTCTGTGATGCTCTGTGCTTATTTCCTTTTCCCAAAATTTGAACTCTATTTTAGAAATGATTTTAAGTATGAAGTTGTATTTGAAGACTCTCCATGAATCACTTAATAACAAGTGACCACATGCTTTGCACTCAATTTCTTTGGGATCATCTACCTAAAATTGAATTCAAGTTAATTGCTATTTCCTTCAAGTGAGAAACAATCATCTTTCTCTCTAAACCAATTAATTTTGGTATAATAGATATAAAATTGTTGCCTACAAAGATGAAAGCACAAAGCGCTAGTTGTTTCCTGTCAAATAGGAAAAATAAAAGGTATTCAACTTACTTTCCACCCCAGTAGAGTTTGGTTGTAATGACCAGGCTGGACCTCCTGTATATTAAACAGAAAAACACACACAGAGAAATATTAAATAAATTGCTGGCTATTATACTGAGTCATATTATTATTATAACACAAAAAGAATTTATTGTACCTCACATTTTTAAAAAATTGGTAGAAAGATCAACTTGTTCATTCCTATCACCACAAAATAAGAACAGAGAGAAGCTAGTGAGTGAGGATTTGAAGTCAGATCCCACAGGTAGAGACTGAATGGAAGTGGTCTTTACCCAAGGTGCTGGATGGAGGAGGTTGAGTGGTGGCAGAGGGGTGGGCGGTGGCAGAGGGCTGGGCGGTGGCAGAGTGAAGGTAAGTGGTGGACATGGAGGGTCAGCAATAGCACATGAGAAGGGGAGATGGAAGGACTTAAAGGATGCATTGCTTCAGCATCTCAAACAAACAGCCACCAACTAACACTTAACTTAGTATCTGGCATAATTTTGATGAAGCGTGAAGTTGCCCCGGAGTAAGTCCACCCTCCATGGACCTAGCGGCTCTGAGTCACGGCCCTATCCAATCATCCTGTTCACAGGCAGGCATTGACTACATGGAAATATGAACGATGAAGTAAATTATAATGGGCAATAAGTAGGAATAAACTTTCTATGAGTGTCTTATTGAATGGAAATGTTACTTTAGGAAAATAGTCCCAAAATCCTTATGTTAAGGTAATAAAATGAGGAAATCCTGTCAGCAAACATAGTACTTTCTCAAAACCATACCCAAAGGGACGAAATTCCATTCTGATCAGGGAATGAGAAATGGGTCTGGAGAACCATGGTCATATAATTTACAATTGGGAAGATCTCAGTGTAGTTTAGTTTCTCTGGGTATGTAATTCAGTTGAACTTATCAAAAAAAAATCATTTGTGACTCAAAGGTTAAGACCAAACTTAGGGAGTATTTGCAATAAGGCATTTATAAAATTTCATCATCTGTAGCGGTGACATATTGGGACCCTGAGGTATAAAAGCCTCACATGGTTAATGGTAACCAATGCGGAACAGCATTGACAATTCTGACAACTTGGCTGGTACAAGGATTTGTAGAAAATGTCAGCAACCCATCCCACCGAAGTTAATTCCCTGAAAAATAGTTTGAATCACCGTAACAGAAGGTCTACAGTTACAAGCATCTGGAGACTATACACCCAGATGAGCCGATGCACTTCCCAGGTCAGTCCTCGAACCTTGTGAGACCTAGTAGAGCAGTGAGCTGCCAGGGGGAGCCAGGTCTCCTTTGGCAAACATTTTCAGAGCTTCGACAAAAGGCTGGATGAAATATTATCTAGAAAAATGAACGCAGCCCTCTTGATTATTCAGAGCACTTGGGCCTGCCAAAGCTGCACATTCTCCTCAAATACATAGACTTAGACTAAGACTTAGGGACTGCCACAGACTTACTCTTCCCGAGTTGGGCTTCCTGTAACATGCTGGGCCTCTGTGGCTGTGCCCACAAACATTAACGTTCAGACAGCAAGAGTAGACGGCAACCTGGCAAATTACCCTTCACTTCACAGGAGCATTTAGAATGGGTGAAGAATGATCACAGGACTGTTTCACTTTGATGCAGAGCAGTCTTCAAAATACTTTTGCACTCCTTATGTCGCTTTGCCAGCATGACACTTTTTGAACAGCTATGACATCTGTTTTACAGGTGGAGAAACTCAGACTCAAAGAAGGGAAGTAACTTGTCCTGGGCAGCACAGCCAGCCAAGTGATGGCACTGGGACTAGAAGCTGAGTATGTCCAAGTAGAAAGTGCCTTTATGGACTCCATGCTATGATAATATAGTTTATCTTTTCAACAGCTTTCTGCAGGCTGCAGTGAACAGGCATCAGTATTCTGTGGCCTGGTGATAGCTTGATTTTTTATTTGCAAGACCAAAAGGCAGTTTGTGGAAGATGCACATTAATCTACTTTCTCATAGGCATAAACAGGCTCTGCAAACTACGGAGAATGATGGGTAAATGTTCTCTGGGCAGCCAGGGGGAAGGAGCCACAGCACTGACACGCCCCCTCCTGTTTCAGGTGTACTTGGTCTCCTACCCCTCGCTGCAGAGTTCACTGGACAGCTAGTGGCCTCATCTCCAGGGTCTCTGTTATGGGTTTAATTGTGTCTCCAGACAGATATGTTACTAAAGTCCTAACCCTCAGTACCTCCAAATGTCAACTGATTTGAAAATAGGGTCATGGCACACATAACCAGTTGAATAAAGATGAGGTTATACTGGACGAGCCCTTCATCCAATGTGACCAGTGTCCTTATAAGAAGACACACAGACACATACCAGGGGAGAAAGCCCTATGATGACAGAGGCAGCTGCTGAAGAGCTGACCGAGGAATGCTGACGATTGCCAGTGCCCCCAGAAGCTGGGAAGAGGCAAGGAAGGACTCCACCCAGAATTTCAGAGGGAACGTGGCTCAGCCCAAACCTTGATTTTGGACTTCTGGCCTCCGGAACTGTGAGAGAATACATTTCTGTTGGTTTAAGCCATCCAGTTTATGGCACTTAGTTACAGCAGCCGTAGGAGATTGATACAGTCTCTATTTGGGCAGTGGTGGGTGGACCAACATGCTGAGTGGGAAGGTAACTCAGACAAGGTGGGGAACTGGGTGCGAGCATGAATATTTTCCCACACTTAATGTTGAATACTGTGCTTTCATAACACCCTTACTGTCCCTGGAGTTGGGGAGGAAGAGAAGCCAGAGGGAGAAATTTGGTCACCAAAATTTGTTGACAATGCCATAAATTTCTGTTTTTCTATTTCCACAAGGCCCTGTATTCCTACCAAATGTTTTTCTAAGAGTGAAGAGACAGTAGCCCTAAGAATATGTGGAGCTCTGTTCAACCCTTCCAGTCTTCCCTCCAGAGGGAATTGGAATACTTTGTGGAATGGCATAATAAAATCAGTCTGACCTATACTCTTCAAGAATGCCCCTTTTCCCTGGACTAAATTTTATACAAGCTGTGTATACATGCATGGTGCAGGGTTCGCTTTGAACAGCTGTCTCACTAATCCTGTTGAATTGTTATTTATTTAGCCCTCAGTAGAGATTATACCAGAGCAGAAGAAGACCCCAAACTGGTCCACTGGTCTTTGTTGGGCTCTGTCTGACTGCACTCATGCGGGGGAGGAAGTGGGAGCTGACAAGCATATTGAAATGGGGGGGACTGTCCAGCCCCCAAGATGTTATGTTTCCACTATTACCTGGCTTTGGCTACAGGTGAGGGGATGGGACATGACCCCTTAAGGACAGAAGCTGAAGCACTTTCTTGAATGCCCAGGCGACAGGGCTCCCAGGACACAGGGGAGACATTGGCAGATAAAGCTTTGGGGTATTTATACCAAGGGCTTCTTAGTTCATCATTTCTTTGCATTCAGAGTTGTGAGTAAAAGGAGCAGTGAAAATAAATGTGTGTATAAATAATCAGCTCCTGTCAGCTGGCTTCCTTCACTGAAGTACATTAGTGGCAGTCAGAAGCCATGAGAGTGTCCCTTTCCTTTATGGATGAATACCTCCTGAACATTCCTTTCTTCTCAGCTCAACCCCAAGGTAATTCATTGTGACTAGTGACTAGTCAAGAAGAGTTGAGGCACAAGTAATGGACTTGCTGGTATAATTTTCAAACCACTGTAGATCATTTCATTACTAAGAGCTGAGTTTTTTTTGGACAACCTTTTGGTCAGTTGTCAATTTTGTTTTTCCTTCTCTGGTACAACATAATGATCGTCCGTTTAAAGGCAGGTGAATGATGACAGTGAATGCATTACCTCCAGCCTTTCTTCTTGATGATGCTCCCCAGAATCACTTCAGCCCTGGAGGGGGAAACACATAGTGTCTTAGGATGCAGGGACCTGGAAACGCAAGAGTCAATCCAAAACACCAGAGCCATCCCTTGTTTGAACTCTCAGAGCCTCTATGTCCCGAAAATAGAAGCTGTTCTCGACTGGTAGCACAGTTTCTGCCGCTCCTGCTTGCGCCTGCAGAATCCTGCTCCAGAGCATTCCAGGAGCACCTGCCAAACCCTGACACACTGGCAGGAGACCGCCCTGTGGTCCTGATACTGAGAAACAGTGGAGTCACTTGGTATTTTGGTGTTTTTAAACTACTGATCACATCTATAAATGTCTCGCTTGGCTACATCCAAGGGGAGTCAAGGTTTTCCTTCTATTTGCTATGGTTTCCAATTGTGACTGGAAGATAGCAAGACCTCACGCTGTTTAGATGGACAATATTGACTCCCGGGAGATCTTGCAGGAAAAAACAGCCTGTGCATGGGTTTCAATGGACCAGATCCAGGACTGCAGATGCAGTGGCCCATATAGAGAATGTCTTGGGTTCCAGTGACAAGCATTGTCATAGAAGCAGGCCATAAGGAGGTGTAGAAAAGTGTCCTTCCTGTACTAAGAGGTATACTAAAGACATCCCCACAGCCTCCTCCCCATCTCCCTAGCCCAGCTCATACCCAAGCTCGAGGAGACTAAAACTTTCCCCTAGGTCCCTCCCAGGGAGACCAACTTGTGAGAAGCAGCTGTGCTCTCAGAGCTTTTGTGAATGGGGACATCATTGAAATGAACACTTTGTCTATTAGGGTCCTTTAGGTGGGAGTCATTGCTAATCATTATTTGTCTTGACTTGAGGGTTCTATCTTTATTGGTGCATTTTTAGGAGACTGGCAATAAGCCACAATGCGGTTTGCTATGGAGCACACCACAGACAGACATGCACTGAATGCTCCGCAGTGTTCTTTGCTTCCTCCCCTCCTGTCTCTCTGATAGTTGCCTTTTGCAACCTTGGTTTTCACAGTGGGAACCTATCTCAGTTACACACTGATAATCAATCAGTAATTAACCAGGACTGATTGTTCTTCACAGTGGGAATACAAACAGAGCTCTGACAGACTTGTTCACCACTCCTCCCTTTTTCAACGTTGGCCTCATTTGGTAGTGAGCAGGATTCAATAAAAGAAGAAAAAACTCCAAGAAAGAGTGCAATGTTGAAAGGAGCAAGGACTTATCAACTTTATTTTCTTTCCTTGGACTCAACAGAAAACATCAGGGATGTGTGCTCTGGACCTCCTTGATGGTCGTTAAACGGAGACCTGCCCTTGACAGGGAGGAAATACATGCAAGGAAAATGCACTCCACCGGGCAATGCTGGGCCTGACTCAGCACGTCCAGAATTTTCATGTAATTCTCACCTGGAAGCAGGGGGCACTCGGCCTGCAGGTGGTCATGTACCTCAGTCCTGTTAGCAAATGACAGAGCTGCTCAAGCTGCTGTGCAGCTATTTAGTTCCTTTCAGCTCCTGCAGCTGTGTCGGTGTTCACAGCAGGAGGCCAAGGTACTCCTGTTCTATTCTAAAATGTGCTTGTCATGCTGGAACCCGGAAAACATGGACCTTGAGGCATGCCTGAGGTCAGGTTACGTCACCCATGTGCTGTGATTTAGCAAGAGCCCTGTCCTTGCACCCAAACCTGCTTGTGTGTCCCTGAAAAGTTGTAACTCTGTGTAACTTCTCCAGCAAAAGGAGTGAGGCTTCTTTGCAGCCTCCTTCTCTGTCCTCTGACTGGAGTCTGAAATGCCCCCTGTAAAGGATATTGGATTTCTTGGCATCTTTGGGGATCCCTCCTTTCATCTCTGATCTACCTGTAATGCTGCAGGGAGGGACAAGCCTGCAAATGGGAAAAAGAGTTCCTGCTCCCTGCAGAGAGGATGGCCCAGTTTCCCTTGGGGGTTGAGAAACTATGAGATGTGGTTATGAAATAGCAAGACTAGCCTTTGAACAACCATGCTGGAATCTGTTCATTTATTTGCTCACTCATACATTGAACTAACATTTATTGATCTCCACTGCCACTGTTCTGGTCCCAGCCACCTCTGTCCCTCATGTAGACCATGGCAACTGCTTCCAGTCCATCCTTCATACAGGAACCAGTGGTGGGAAAGTTTGGGTGGGCAAACTCCAGGTGGCTGGAGATGGTCCATATCCCTAAGTCCTGATGATGGTGGTGGAAGGAGGGGGAAAAGCAATACCATTGACATGTGTGACAATGACAGGCCCTTCTTGCCAGTATGTCAGCAATGGTTTGGGCAGAGTCCCTTGGTTCTAAGAACACCGCCTGAGGCACATGAACAGGTATTGACTTACTTTCCAGCGGCATAGACCTCAGCAGTATCAAAGAGATTAACTCCACTTTCATAGGCGATTGTCATCAACCGTTCAGCAACCTACAAGAAGACACAAAGGTCAGTCAAAAAAGCCAAATGCTTTCCAAATCCGGGAAGCAACTTTGAATCCTTCAGTGGTCTTTAAGAACACTGAAATTTCTCTAACCACTCCTTGCTTTTCTCAGCTGTAGTGAAGAAAGAAAAAAAGAAGTTTCAGCCAGCACAGACAAGCTAAATGCATCCTTCCCCTCACATGCAGACCGGGCACTAAGGGATTTCCTGTAAGTGCTGGGATAAGGCAGCACAGTGAGGTGGGTCCACTGTTTCTCACTCTGCTTGGAAGACCTGGTTTGACAACATTCTCTTTGACACTGAAATCTCTCTGACAGAGAGGATCATTTGTACTGCAGCCAACTCCATTTCTCTTCTTTCTCCAAGCCAATAGGTTGCGGCACCGGGGTGACTTGTGACTTAAAAAGTCCGTGCCTTTTTTTTCCCCATGGCTCAGCAGACTGTTCTGGGAACCAAAGGTGAGACAGAATGGTGACTGCACGTCTCAGCAAATCCCCAGACACAATTACAGAGTGGCCAGCCAGCTGAATCCACCCGCACACAGAGGAGGGAGTGAGGCCCAGGGGTTCAGCTCCTCACTGTCTGCCTGTAAGCAGACCTCCAGGCTCCCGTCCCTTCCTTTGTGCTGCTGACTGCAAACGGGAGGTGTGACGAGGATACAGGGATAACGACAGAGGGAGGGCAATAAAGAGAAGTGGAGGGGGCTAATTTTTTATTTAGACTTATTAGACAATTGAGAAACTATGCATCTCATAAATAATTAAAATTGATTTTTCCATTATGTTTTTTATGGTGGGCTAGAGTTGCTTCATCAGCATTTCTAAGATAAACTATTTTCCTGTTTTTCAAATTGGCCAACCAAGAAAATTGTTAGGCTAGCAAAATGGGATCCCTGCAAATACTTTAGAAAAATAACAGTAAACGTCCTATTACTTTTAAAAGCTATAACTGCTTTTAATTTTGTACCATCGTGACATTTACTCTAAATAAAGATTGAAAGTTAAGACAAATATGTTTTTTTCCAAAGTGGCTGTTCTGTGTTTAAGAAATTATCATGCTTGTATTATAATATTATCCTTGTGCTGTATAACATGGCATGGTGGGGGATTATGAGTGGGAAATGTACATAATAAATCTTACACAGAGAGAAACTTTAAGATAAGAGAGACTCCTAGATGGAGGGTAGACTGATTGCTGAGATGTTTCCCAACCAACTGCAGCATTTGAAGACCCCAACGTGGAATAATGAAATCACCGAACTAAGTCAGAACAGTGACTTCTGGTCTTGAGTGAACCACTTACTGGATGAAGAAACTTGAGCAAGTCATTTGAACTCCCTGCATTTCAGTGTTTTCATCTGCAGAATGAGGGTGATTCTGTTCAGGTCCCCATGGAGCCCAGAGGCCCAGAGGAAGCTCATCCCCTGTTTCCCTGGACTTATTCTAATTGAGGCCTAGAGTTTCTACGTCTCTCTTCCTACCAGAGGTTGAAGTTCACGCACAGAGGAACACAGGGCCAAGTCACTGGGAAATGGAGTGGGGGCGACTGACTGAGTTGACCCCGAAGCTTGCTCTAGGTCTACACTTCCAGTGTGCAAATTAAAATAATTTTTTTCCTTTATTGGTTAAACCAATTTGAGTTGAGTTTTTTTATTACTTGCAATTAAAGGAAACCTAAGTACCTTACCAATGAGAAAAGGTAAGTAAGACTCTGAAAACTAGGTGCTATAAGATGATAATACACTCTTACCATTACTGAAAGTATTAATCACATGAATACCTTCCAGTTTGGCTTTATAATGAAGCCAAATCTTCTTTGGGAGGCACCTCACAGCAGTATCTAGTTTCACGTTTGAATCCTCTTGATATCCCTGTCAAGTGGCTATTCAATATACGGTTGAACTCTGCTGGTAGTGGGGATGTCATTACTTTCAGAGGTAGTACCATGTCACCTGGCACATTATAGTGTGGTCACCCCAGGATCCCCTGTTTGTGTTTGCTTTGTGCAGAGCTCGTCTGAAGCCAGAGGAAGTAGAAAAGTCTGCGGAGGTGAACTTGTTGCTATTGGTTTGCATTTTTGCCATGTGGAAATAAATTTGAGCGTGAACACTACAACCACTGGTGCCCCCCTTCCTCCTCCTTGCTGGCGTTCTCTCTGCAGGGACATGGTGGGAAGCCACAGCTGCCTCTGGAAGGACAGTAGTTATTTGATCTGCATCTGAGGTGAGGCCTGCTCCAGACACTTGTGACAACTTGATAGTGTGGTTTTTAGAACCGTAATTTTGAAATGATTCATTTCAGAGGCCAGCCCTGCCCACTCTGACCTGGGGCAAAGCTGGGCTGACTGTGGCAGAGTGGCCGGCTCTGTAAAGGGTGGAGCAGGGATGAAGGGAAATTGATGTACTTACAGTAGGCCCCTCTGCTCCAAAAGGGAGCAGACCTCCTTCCCTACCTGTCACCTATTTTGTATGTAAGTCATTGGTCATTGCTCTGCTGTCTGTGGACCTTCCTCTGTGCCTGCCCCATGTACCCTAACTGATGCCAGTCAGCGGGCCCTGCAGTGAACCCTGTGATGGGTGCCCAGATCCTCCTTCAGAACTGAAGGACATATTCCCGTGGCTGCTAGGAATCCTGGCCTTCAAGCTATCAGCTCTGTCTGGAAATTGCATATGGCTGAAGAGAGTTGATTAGCTCAGTGTTGGACCTGCTTCCCAGGACAGCCCTGTTTAATAATTGATTGTACAAGGGATAGAAATGCTCAGTTTTTTTCCCCAACTTGGGGCAATTCTGCATGGCCATCTCAGCTTTAGAGCTCACCATGGCATCACCTAAGGTCATTGCTAAGACTGCATCATGGCTCAGTTTCAGTGCCCAATTCTGCTTCCTTCTCTGCCATGTGTTGATTCTGAGATCACTTCCTAATACTGTTCTGCATGCTAATCTCTATCTCAGAATCTGCTTCTCAAGAAATCCCCTGTGAGACAAACTCTCTATGGTGAGTTTGCCCAACACTGGGAACAGGCATTCAGACTGGTAAGAATGTGCAGATAAGTCTTCTCCTCCTGGGTCTATTAAACAATGCTGGTGACGTTGGGAGCTGTAGAAATGCCCCCCAAGCCCCCCATACTTTTACTTAGGAATGATAGTAAAAATTGCCTTTACAAAGGGCTTATTCTAGGCCAAACACCTGCTCAGCACTTTATAGGCATCATGTCATTAATCTCAGCCATGGTCCCACTGAGTAGGGGCTACCATCTGCATTTTACTGATATGGCAACTGTTAGTAGATGTAAATGTTAGTAACTGTAGTTAGTCAGTGGCAGAGCAGGCTGGATCCCATTGAGTGTACCCACTCAGACACACCACCCCTGACCCTCAGTGGTTCTCCAGGCAGGCAAGGAGGGATTTCCAGCTTAGCTCACTGATGCCATGAAAGTATGCCCTTTGTTAACATTTTATTTTTTAATCATAGTTTACCTTCAGTAGTATTTTATGTTAGTTTCAGGTATACAGCATAGTGGTTAGCCCATTGTATATTTTATAAAGTGTTCCCCCCGATATTTCCAGTACCTACCTGGCACCCTACATAGTTATTACAATTTTATTGACCATATTCCCTATGCTTTACATCCCCATGACTATTTCATAACTATCAATTTGTGCTTCTTAACTCCTTCATATTTTCACCCAGTTCCCTGACTGCCCTCACCTTTGGCAACCATCATTCTTTTCTCTGTATTTATAACTCTGTCTCAATATTTTTAAAATTTTGTTCTATCACATGGTACTTGTCTTTCTCTGACTTTGTATGATATCCTCTATTGGGGGTGTCCAATCTTTTGGCATCTTTGGCCCACACTGGAACAGGAGGAGTTGTCTTGGGCCACACATAAATACACAAACACTAACAAAAACTGAAAAGCAAAAGAAAAAAGGTTTTAAGTAAATTTGCAATTTTGTGTTGGGCTACAGGTGGCCTGCCAGCCACAGGTTGGACACCTCTGCATCTAGGTCTATCCACGCTGCCACAAATAGTAAGATTTCATTCGCAAGTATTCCTTAAATACAATGATAAGAATATCACGTCAATAAGCACTGCTCGGAATGTGTAAACACCTAAAGAAATTTCATGGTAAATATAACTATATTATTGCTGCCATTTTTGAGTGTCTGCTACCTACCAGTCAAAAGGCTGTATAAATATCTGACAGGTATATCATGGTTCGTTCTTCCCACAGACCTTGAAGGTCCACACTTTTATCCCATTTTACGTAGGAGAAGCTGAGACTCAGAGTAGTTGGATTAACTTGTCCAAGCCATGGTGACCACCTGTCCTGGTTTGCCCAGGACTGAGTGGTCCCATGCTAAAATGAGAAAGTCCATGCAAACAGGAACCAGGACAGTCACTCTAGGTAGAGCTAAAACAAATAACAATAGCAGTAAAATGTTTCCAAAAAGGGGCTAATATTCATCCATACTGGTTGCTTCCTTATCAAGTGACTAGCACATATAATACATTGACAGTCTCAAGGATTAATAGTACAAATGTGAAAAACAAAGAAAATAAAATTGAAAATAATCTTTGAGTCAATCTTAACCATTTCCCATAATTAAAATGTTGTCCTTGTTGAATGCCAGAATCTCAGGAAGAATATTCCTATTATATCATGCTCTCCGTGTTTTCTTTGATCAGTGGCCATAACAAAAGATAAAACTAACTTACCTCATCTGAAATTTGACCTCCAAATGTCACCCATGTTCCTAGAAAAGATGAAATATTTGCACATTACTTATAATCACTTTTCTAATATGTGTATAACAAGAGGAAACACTCTTTCTTACAACAAGACTATTTCACAGATTGTTTATGAAAGTAGCTGGTTGGGGGGCATTTGAGGGCTGAAGACCAGCCCACCCTCCTCTCACTAAGCTGCCCAGCAGGGGTCTGCAGGCCCCTGGAGAAAAGGATTCTCTTTCTGTAGCCACAGGCACCACATAAGAGCAGCCCAGTCTCACACAGTCTCTGCCTGTAGAGGACCATGAAAGCTACTGTGCAAGATGGCAGTGTTACCATGCCTACTCTGGCCACACACCCATTCTTGCTCTCACTTAGCTAAGGAGCCACCAGTTCTGAAAGTGAAGGTAAGATCTTGGATTAGGGTTCTTTCCTTCTTTGTCTCCATCAACTGACTCTGTTTCGTATTCCCTCTTACCTTTCAAAAGGAACCCTCTCAAATGTCTTTCCAGTCCCTACTTCCGAGCCCCAGGAGAGGATATTTAACCACCTTCTCTGCTGTGACCTGCTACTCCATAGTGGAAATCTCCATAGGTGTGGGGCCTGGAGTGGGGGCAGTAGCTGGAGTGAGGATTGGGAAGGTAAGGAAAAGAGGCATAACCACCAGCCAGGTTTGCCTTCGTGAAGCAGGTGTGGAGCAGACACTGCATGGGCTCTGCCACTCCAGTTTACGGTTACTTCATTCATTTCCTCCCTCCTTGATCTACTTTTTTTTGAGTCCTAATTACATGCCAAGGAAACGCATTGCACCCAGGTGGCAGGGACAATGAGGTGATTGATCCAGTTTCGCCCACTGAGGCAAACACAAGGCAATAAAGGAGAGAGTACTTTACCTAGACTGGAGGGTTGTGGCACTCAAGAAAAACTTCGTAGAAGAGGTGATACTTTGGTTGAATCACAAAAGAGGTAGTTGAGCAAAGGAGAAAGGGACAGGCACTCAGCTACATAGGTATGAGCACAGGCAAGGTAAGAAGGTAGAAAACTTTAGAATGTGCTGAGCTGTGATGTGGGCCATTGGGCCGAGCGAGGGAATGTGATGCAGAGAGAGGGGTGGCAGGAGTCAGAGTGGCCTGGGCACAGTTCCCATTTGTGGGCAAAGAGACGTTGAGGAAACCTTTTTCATTTCATAACAACAGTCATAGCTACTGTTTATGGAATACCTTCCAAAGGCCAACAGTATCCTAAAAGCTTTCACACTCTAATCATTTTGACGAACTTAACCCGGCAATTTTACTATTTCTATTTCCAAACGAGAACTCTAAGATGAACCAACCAGTAAGCGGATACCCAGCATTCCCCACACATGCCTAACTCCAAACAGGATGTCCTTTTTATTGTATCTCACTGCCTCTAGAATATTCCCAGATCCATTAAGGCACTAGAATTTCATACTCCATAGAATGTTGATTGTACCTTTTCTCTTCTTAGTTCCCAGAAACTAAAACAAAGGTAAGCTGACTATTATACTATTAATTGACTATTGATTAATTGGCTATTATACTCTACATCCCCAGATGCTGCAGGTGGGCAGCCAAAATGCTGCGCTCACTTGCAGACTAACACAGTGGTGACCCATTTGCTAGTTTAATAAATTTTGAATAAGTTACCAACATTGAAATGATTGGGAGATTTTCATTTCAAATGATTGATTTCCAGGTTCTTTTAACAATAGATGGCTGGTGTCCCCACAAGGCAGACAACCCTGAATCCAAGGGCCAGTGTTCTGTGTGTAAGGTCCATGCCCTCCAGAGTTAGTCAAAGTCTACACACCTTCCTTTGTATTTTCAACACTGAGATCAAATGCAGTTGTTATTTTCTGCCACATGTTTATTGCTATTTTTATTTTAAAATTAAAAGAAAAATGAACTTGTGCATCTTCTGAAAACACACACACAGTCGAGAATTTCAGGGAAAAAACAGGAGTGCACTTTTTTTGGGTGGATGTGAAGAACATAAAACAAAGACTATTTGCACTGAAAAATTACAACATAAGGCACCATGACTGGTGTACAGAAAAGATGGGCGTTGAGAAACCTAATGAACTGGAGAAATGGCCGCGTTTGTATTTCAATGGGAGTAAAAGAAGTGATTTGCTGTGAAATGCAGTTCTTTATTAAGTGAAAAAATTGCAGGGACATCAAAACTGTTTTACAGACAATGTTTTTATAAGAGTCTCTTTTGAATGCAGCAGAAATGATGATGTGTCCAGGGAATAAACAAGCATTTGCAGATTTTAGTGTAATCAGAAACATTCTAGCTCAGCATGTTAAAAATATGGCTGAAAACTTTGAGGATAAGTTATATTATTGGTGGCATTTTCTATTGCAGCAAATAAGAACACAGATAGAAATAATAGCACACTGTTAGCTATGTTTATTTGTGATGTTTTGAAAATTTTGGAGAGGGCAAAGGACTTTTGAACAAGAAATCCTACTAGGTAAAACCCCAGGAAATGGCCCACTTTGTGATGAGAAAGGTCCCAGACCAGCAAGTGTAGAATACACTGGTCCAAGTTCAGTGTTAACTGCAGGCAGGGCTCTCACAAAGGCTGGGGCTGACATTGAACCTATCATGCACCAGATTCCTAGGCGGCAGTATTTTGTAGGGGCACTAAACAATGAAGCCTGTAAGTTCATTAATTTTCTCATTCATCAGGAGTTGCTATGGGCTAAAATGAGACAAGCCATGAGTTCATTAATAATACCCTGAATCAGTCATTCTTCTATATCTTGGAGCAACATCAGGTCAGTGTCTGCTTGATGAATATGCTGGCTTACTTGTACTGAGATGATGGAGATTTTTTAAATCCCTCATAGCATCAAAGGGAGTAGTCCCATCTCCACTCAGCCTCAAAGACTGGAAGTTCCAGGTGTCCTGCTGATGTTACAACTCATCTACTCTTTCTGAATAATTTTCTATGGGGGCATTCACAAGTATTTGGGTAAGTATCTCTCATTTGCTTCTCTCCGTTCTGACAAAATAGAGTCTTTGGGAAATTAAGTGGTTAAAGAATAATTCCATCCACTTTCCTATATTACAGTCACTTTCCAAAAGTGAAATTGATAGCCTGAAATTTGTTCTTTGAAACTGGGCCATTGAATATTGGATTTCAAACTTTATGAAAATAAGCCAACTCTATTTGGCTTATCTTTCTTTTAAAAAAATATTTTCATCCAATTTCTGTTCTTTTTTTAAAGATTTTATTTATTTATTTTTAAAGGGGAAGGGAAGGAGAGAGGGAGAGAGATACCAATGCATGGTTGCTTCTCGTGCGTCCCCTGCTGGGAACTGGCCTGCAACCCAGGCATATGCCCCAACTGGGAGTTGAACCGTGATCTTTTGGTTCGCAGGCTCATGCTCAATCCACTGAGCTATACCAGCCAGGGCCATGGCTTAGCTTTCTTAATTAATTTTTTAAAGATTTTTGATCCAGAGATGCCACTGCTGGGACTATATACCCTTAGAATCCTGAATCACCAATTCAAAAAAACCTATGCACCCCAATGTTCATAGCAGCATTATCTACAATACCAAGTGCTGGAAACAGCCTAAGTGCCCATCAGTAAATGAGTGGATAAAAAAACTATGGTACATTTACACAGTGGAATACTACACAACAGAAAGAAAGAAGGAGCTACTGCCATTTGCAACAGCATGGATGGAACTGGAAAGCATTATGCTGAGTGAAATAAGCCAGGAGGTGAAAGACAATACCATGTGATCTCATCTATAAGTGGAACCTAATCAACAAAACAAACAAATGAGCAAAATAGAACCAGTGGCTTGGAAATAAAGAACAAACTGACAGTAACCAGAGGGGAGAGGGGAGGGGGGAAATGGGAGAAAGAAAGGGAAGGGGCAAGCAAAGGAACAGGAATAGAGGACTCATGGGTACGGACAATGGAGGGGATTGTCTGTGGGAGTTGGGGAGAATGGGGTAAGGGTAAACAATGGGGAAAATGTGGGACAACTGTAACTGAACAATAATAAATGTAAAAAAAATCTTATGGCCTAAAATCTTATCTCTTAAGTGAATAATAAAAAAGAAGCAACATATTACTAATTGAGAAGGTTTGATTGATGTAAAATTTTTTCTTAAATAGGCAAACGTATTAGTTCAACATCAATCTTGACTGCATTAAGCATTTACAGATTAATGGAGTTTTGGAAATATATTTCCCAAAGAATTGTCATTCTGATTAAGTGTAATGAATATATTAAAGCAGGCTGCCCAATTGAATATGAAATTCAAACTAAGTGCAACATTATATTTATAAACAACTATAGCTGGAAAATACAATAAAGCCAATTTCTGTGAGAAAAAAAGTTTGTTGATTTCTTTTTAGAGGGAGAGGAAGGGAGGGAGAAGAACATTGATGTGAGAGAGAAACATCGGCTGGTTGCCTCTTGCAAGCATCCGAACTGGGGACTGAGCCCGCAACCCAGGCATGTGCCCCGACTGGGAGTCAAACCGGCAACCTTTCTTTCTCATTGCAGGACTACACCCCACAGGGCTCTTACTTAATTTTCGATAGCACGAGTGAAGGGCTATGACTTGAAGTACTTAAGCTGTAGTACAAGATGGCACTGGAGACTAAGCATGAGAGCACTGAAAGCCAGCATGGTACGCAGATCTTGGAGGCCACCCTACTTACAGGGCCATTTACAATAATTCTATCCATGCTGGGAAGAGCTTATTTTTCTAAATATGGATCTGAAAAGTGAATCTGAACAAAACTGCCCACTAACTCCAGTTTAAGTCTTTAAGGCTTTACACATGGCAGTGAGAAACTACAGGGCCTGCCTGATATTTTGGTACAGAATAAAAGATATCAGATTTTTTATTCCAAGTACAAGCAGCGATAAATTGTGAAAAATAGTAATAGTTAATATTTTATTTTTCAAGTGTTTATAAAAATCAGTGTAAAATAGAATATAAATGGCATATATATTTCTGGGTGCATTA